TAACCAAACTAAAAAATACAATTTTTTCCATAAACAAAATTAAAAAACTCGATTTCTTTCATTAATAAGTTTTAGAACTCCATCATATATTCTCCAACTTGAATGAGGCAAGGAAAACATAGATTAAAGTTAGCAATGGTTGTTGTATTTATTGTGTTAGGTAAAATGTTTAATGTTGTTGTTTTTTATATTTACTGTTTAACGATTTTATCTATTTTATTTTTGTTTTTGTTGTTGTTATTTTTCTCTTGTTGTTTTATTGTTGTTGTTGTTGAGATTTAATATTTAACGATTGTATTGATTTTATTTTGTTGTTATTGTTTAGATTTGATATTCAATGATTTACTTGATTTTGTTGTTATTGTTGTTGTTGTTGTTCTTCTTCTTCTTCTTCTTCTTCTTGTTCGTGTTCTTGTTATTGTTCTTCTTTTTGTTGTTGTTGTTGTGTTATAAATATTTGATATTATGATGAAAGTTCTAAATGTAGTCAGCCAAAACATGTGGCAAAAATTAAAAAAAAAAAGGGCTAACTAAGTTTCCACCATGGTTGGAACTTCCAGCCGTGCTGAAAAGTGGACTGACTACATATCGCCACGGTTGAAATTTGCAACCATGGTCAAATGTAGCATGCTATCTAGTTTTTCACAATGGGCTATAACCCATGGTTGAAAGTAACACACTTACTACCATCCTTTAACTTACCATGATTGGTCAACTGTGATGATCTCCCTTTTTCTAACCGTGGTGAAAAGGTCTTTACGTAGCAGTGACCTTCATACAACTCCCTCAATAGTTCCACAACTTGCAAATCATTCAACGTGTTCACATCTACATTTTCAACGCCATTAACATCTTATGCTTCAACCAAATCTTCATTCCATATGAATATATCCCATGTATCATCGCCTTGCCAAAATAGCAATCTCCAAAAGAATCTTCCTTTATTATGACAGTTCTTATAATAATAGAACATCATACGAGCTTCACACTCATACTTTCTTTCTGGTCAGTTTTTCACAAATGAGAAAGACATGGAATTGGGTTGTGTACCCTTTGATTTGGAAGACAACATGGACAAACTTTTAATTTGAATGTTGGGCGAGTAACTTAGGTGAAATTATGCGTCTGAGATAGAAAGAGACAAAGAAGAATTAAGTTAAGACGAAAAACATATCCTATTTTTCCAAACGATGTTGCACTTAAAAGGGAATGATTGATAATTTTCTAATAATAAATAAATATTGTGTTAACTAATTATCAAATAGTTTCAAACGTGTCAATTGATTATTCAACCATTTAAAAAAAATGTCATTTGTATGTTCACATCAATTTCTGTTACAACAAGTAGACGACAGAGACCAAAATTATAGACAAATATTTTTAAGAAAACCATTATTTAAAATATTTTTATAAGAACTACAATTAAATTTTAAATTATTTATAGAGCCCACACACATATTTAACTTTTAATATTAATATTAAATCATAGTTTTATTATATTCTATCTTTCTAAACTTTTGAAATGCAAAAAAATGTCTATTAATATTTTTTTACTAATTTGAGATCTTGTTATTATTTTCTCTAAGAAATAATTTATTTTAGTTTTTTAAAGATTTTCTAATACATTTAAAATTAAAATATTTCAGGAGGCCTAAAAAGCTCTTGTTTAAGCAGCTTGGGCTTAGGCTGATCTACTGCCTAAGTTGTGTCAAAAGTTGTGTCAATATAGATGGTAGAAGCATGAGAGGAATACATATACATGAGGAAAAGTAGAATCCGTGCGCTATCGTTTAAGCCAATCCTAACCGTTGGATTTACACTCACGCGGATCGCTCTTAAAACAAAAACTCACTCTCTTTTTCCCTCTAAAATTTCAGTCCAATTCAATTCAAACACATCTATAAAACCCTTTTTTCACACCAAATCTAAAAGCATCGAAATTACACCTCTTCTATCGATCTCAGTTCAAAATCATTCTTCTAGAAGTTTCTCTCAATGGCTCGTACAAAGCAAACTGCTCGCAAATCCGCCGGTGGCAAAGCTCCCCGGAAGCAGCTAGCAACAAAGGCTGCACGAAAATCAGCTCCGGCAACCGGCGGAGTGAAGAAGCCACACAGATTCAGACCAGGAACAGTTGCCTTGAGGGAGATCCGCAAGTACCAAAAGAGCACTGAGCTTCTGATCCGAAAACTTCCTTTCCAGCGTCTTGTTCGTGAAATCGCTCAAGATTTCAAAACGGATCTGAGGTTCCAGAGCAGCGCTGTTTCGGCTCTTCAAGAGGCTGCTGAGTCTTACTTGGTTGGACTGTTTGAAGACACAAACTTGTGCGCAATTCATGCAAAGAGAGTCACCATCATGCCTAAGGACATTCAGCTTGCAAGAAGAATCAGAGGAGAGAGAGCTTAATTTGTTTCTAATCCAATTTCATTCCCAAATGTTATTTTCTCAACCCTAGAATGGAATTGCGTTTACCAGTTTCTATGTGTGTATCGGATGTAAGATTACTTGAATGTTAATCAATGATATTTATATATATCCTCAAACTCTTCGACTCAGGTTGATTTTTCAAATATGATTTTACTGTAAAAACATATCAAATGAACTTAAAATGTGAAAGTCATCCAAAATATTACTACTAAGAACACCTTTCCTCTAATCTTTATGGTGAAACCTCTATCAGTCCATGCATCTACAACTAAGAATCTTCCTTTTGGGATAGATCTGTTCTCCTCACGATCCCAACTCAAAGAAAACTAGAAATAATCTTTTTTATTTCATGATTAAAATTATAAAAAGGAAACTCCAATCATACCCCTTTCTTCTTGACACAACTTTTCTTCTACCATTCATAATAAGCCATATTTTAAATTTACAAAAAACCTTTTATTGTATATTTGGTGTGCAACCAGTTTATATTTTATGTTTGTCAGTGTCCCAACTGACGCCATGTATAACTACCTAATAAATCGAAAGAATCACACGTCTTTAATATGGACTATTTTTGAATGGTATTTTCTATTGAAATGGTAGAGAAATCAATTAAAATCAATTTTCAATTGGAATGGTGGAGAAATCAATTAAAATCAATTCTAGACAAAGTCAAGGAAACAAGATTAGCCCTAGAAGTTGTTGACAAACTCAATACCGTTTTCTTCCTACATAGGCCATATCAGATAGATCGCATAACTAAGCTCCTTATTTGTAGGAATTATACAAATCTATGAAAAACTATTGATGGTTATCTTCCAAATTTAAAAGTTACAAAGAAATTAATGGATTATGTAAACATCATCAATCTCCATGATTAAGAAAAAATCAAAGCTAACACAAGAATTTGGAGAAAGCTCGAGTCAAGCTCCTCAGTAGAAAGAAGATTCTCCAATGAAAAATGATTCATCAGAAGGACACGTGAAAAAAACCCGAAAGAAAATGTTGGAGGACACTTGGCAATATGAGTTATCTCCTAATTCGGGTTATTTTCAAAAGAATACTTATCCAATCAAAATTTATCTTCGAGTCATAAGTCCATCTTTAAAAACTGATTTTGACATTTGTCTGTTAAGTGTCACTAGCGTGTTTTATGAATAATTGACGGATATTCATTATTAAGTGCCACAAGCGTGTTTTATGAGTATTTGTGTTTTGTCTTCTTGTGTAAGAGTACTACAATAATGTATCACCGTAGTCAAAATTACGTTAGTCATTTGTAAAAAGCATTCGAATAATGCTTATGATGAAATACTTATAAATAGTGTATTTCTGTCTTTTGTATATCTCCTTAGCTATAAAAGGAAATGTTTTGTATCATATTAAGACAAGAGAAAACGAAATAAAACATGTGTATTTAAGTATAAACATGTTTTTAAATTTTTTTTTTCTCTCTGAATGCTTTAATTATTATGTTCCTACCATAATTTCTCCATGGAGATACAAATATACTCTACGCTTGTCTCAAAAATGAGAATTGTGTATAAAAAATATCTGACCACTAGTCCATGCTAGGATCTTCACTATTATAGAATGTCAATTTTAATTGTGAGTGTACTTGAGACTTTGTTAAGCCTATAATTGAGTGCTTTAGTTATTATGTTCCTATCTTCAATGGAGATGCAAATATACTCTACACTTGCCTCAAAAATGAGAATTTTGTGTATCAAAAAACAACTTGCCTCAAAAATGAGAATTTTGTGTATCAAAAAACATCTTACCACCAATGCTATGGTCTTCACTAATATAGGATGTCAATTTTAATTGTGAGTATGTGCTTGAAACTCTGTTATGCCTATAGTTGAATGTTTGTTGTCTCAATTGGTAATACAATTAAGATTGATTTCATAATATATGAAACTCCCGGACAAAACTTACTATTTTCTACAAATTCAATCATGACCAAACGGTAGCGAGGGATAGGACTGAATGTTGTGAAAAAGAGACTTGTATCAACACAAATTATGTTTGACCAGTTTAATTACATTTATATACAAAAATCGGGAAAACATCATTAACAATAGCTAGAAAAGAATACTTCAAAAAAATGTTAGATGATTGTTATCTGCTTGCTTAAAAATATTTATTCGTTTGTAAAGTTGAGATAATTGCTATCCTTTATTTTTCTATACTTCTCCAATCTCTACTATGCAAGTTTTGTTTTGTTTTGTTTAATACGATTGGTTTGACTTGACTAGTTCTAGTTCTGCTACAAAATCAACTTATTTTGGATGTTAGTTACTAGGACCGAATTGTCTGTTTTTCAACTCCCTTCCAAGCACAACTATGTATTCATTTGACGAAAGCTCACTACAGAAGAGTACATCTGCTTCTAAAAGACATGTATGTTTGGATTAAAGACATCAACTTTCTAAGTAATTTCATTCTCAGCTAATTAGTATCACTTGCCTGGTTACCCATAGAAGACATCATATTTCACAGACTGCTATTGAGTAAAAAAAAGGGCCATTAAATTTTTAAATATTTAAAAAAGCTCCGAATAAAATCTTAAACTAAACTCTGTTCAACTCAGTATTGTGTTTGTCCAACTGATCTGTCAGCTCTTTCTTCCACTGCTGGATCAAATGTTCTTGTTTTTTAATCAGCTCATTTTTTTCACTAAGCTCGTCTTCCATAAGAGCAATCTCCTGGTAAGACAACACATGCAGTTGAAATTTAGACAAGAATGTTAGAAGGTCTCTGATTGAAGAAAAACATTATTTCAGAGTGGTCAGCATACCTTTTTAAGCGTTTCAGCTTTTGATGGCTTATCCTCTCGTTGCAGACTAATAAAATAAAGTTGAAGTTTCTTGGCAGCCTCCATAAAATCTCTAGCATGACGATCCACGTCGACTGATAGAAAAAACCCAACCAAGGAAAACCCCTTTAAGATCATTTCTCAAATATATTAAAATTCGATTAGTTTGATTATTCTACTTCCATTTTCTATGTTTGCTAACAACTACAAACATAACTAGAACAAAAGAGGAATTTCTCTTCTCAATGTATATTAAGGACCGGGAAATAGAAAGACATCAACTTCACAGCTAATTTTAGTACTAGTTCTATTTTAAGTCACGCCACAACTTAAGGCTAACAAGGTCTAAATAAATGCAAGTACAGCCCATTGTCTTCAGCCCTACAGTGTATCAAATTAAAAAAATAAATTATAAAAATCAAAACACAGAATTTCATCTAAAGTTTGTACATCAATACATCCATTTTCACTCATTTCTGTGGTTATATTGTATCATGACAATAATTATTGAATATGGTTCACTGATTCTTTATAAAATTTACTTACCTATTTCAAAATCATCAATACATCCAATTTTCACTCATTTCTATGGTTATATTGTATCATGCCAATAATTATTGATTAAAATATGGTTCACTGATTCTTTATAAATTTACTTAAGTATTTCAAAATCATCAATAGTAACCTTTTACCACCCTTCTTTTCTCCCCATGGATGATTGGTGCATTCATAACTGCACATTTAACAATGTGTCAACAACTGAATTCCACAGGGGGCAATGTTGTTGCAAGAATGCTCATCTTTAACATAAAAATATATGTTAAGCCACTTTAACAGTTTTACCTAACAACTAAATTATCACATGGTACATCATATTCATCCATTGATCACACAAAAGTTATCAAGTTAGCAACACAGAGACTAGATAGAAACTGCAATTATGATTCCTCACAAACTGAGGGTATCATCACATACATCAAATACATTGTGTTTTCACAAGTTCCATGCAGCCCGTTAAGGAACAACATTTTTTGTTTATAAATAAATAAAAGAATATACATACAATGGTTATCATTTCATATTCATACTTTTTGATATAAAGAGAGTAAGTACGAAGAAGAAAAATTACAAAAAAAAAAAAAACACCGAATCATAAGAAAAAAGGAATATTTTGAAGACTTCTGGCATCTATCGGTCTCAGACAAGATTGTATTCAACCCAGTGTTTTCAAATTGCGGCGCCATGGCCGACGTACATGGCGTTTTTTGGGCTTGCCGCAATGGTAAATATCGTCCGCTATTTCGAGTTTTTCCACCATAATCCGCAATAACGGCCCCGCATAGCGGCCGGTATGGCGGGATTTTGGCTCTCCACCATTGACATCACTATTTCAACCACACACTTATTCCCTAATTGGCACCATTTCAATCAAAACGCAATTTACATGGAGCCTGTTTGAGACTTGATCACTAGTGGTATAAGTAATTGTTTGATTACTAGTCTGTATCTAATGACACATGGAGCATTCACTCAAGAATCCTCTAACATATTTTATGTTAGCAATAAGCAATCTCATTCCTCTAAACTTAAATTAAGTATCAGTGATTATCCTTTGGCTTTGATATAACAAGTCATCCTATATTATAAACATGAAATATTAGTCTCATTTGAAAATATCATAATTAAATTATTTATGGTTTACATTTCAATTAATATACTTAAAGAAAGTATCAGAAAAACAATATTTTTGACAGCCTATCATGTAATTTAATTTCTAATACAGGGCATCAAAATAAAAAATTTGAAAGATCTGCGGTTACTCACTTTGATGAGAAGGATGCGGAGAACGGTCTATGGCTTGAAGTTCTTTGGCTGGCAGACAGGGAAGCAAAGCAGCTTCCAAAGCCATAACACATGAAATCATATCATCCTTTGAGGGAGGAGGGGGAGGAGGAAGAGGAGAAGATGGCAGCGGTTGATCAACTGTGTCAACTACTTGCCGGTCACCCATAATTTCAGACCGCTAAAGGAAAGACGAGATCATCAAAACATGAAATACAATGAAATGAATACTTGATAATAAGGTTGCATTTTTCATGCGAATAAAAGTTTAAATATCCTATCATAGATTAAACAAAATCATAATATCCTATTATACCAACTTAAATTCAAATCTAGCTTAATGTTTTGGCCATAATTTGGAAATGCTTAGGTGGGGAATTGAAAGAACTAGATAAGGCTTCTCCATGGGTTAGGGTTTCAGTAAATATACAATCACCCAACTTGTTCGATGTTCACAGGTTCAGTGTTACTGAAATTGAACAACTAGCCTAACATTGCGCATAAAAAATTTCATGTTTTCAATAAGGGAATTGAGTAATGAAAAAAAAATATGAAAGAAAAAACTGAGGGTTTGTGAAGAAAGCTAGAATGATGAAGAGGAACCTGCGCAGAAGACGGTGAGTGGGAAGAGGTGAACGACGACTGGTTCTGAGGCGGCGCAAGGTGAAGAAGAGGATTTTTGTTGGCGTTCTCTTCTCTTCTCAGATGACTTGGGGCGTGGGGGTGTATGTGAGATTCTCAGTTTTCTTCCAATTCCGAAACAATGAATGATTTACATACGAGAATAAGAGGAAATGAATTCCGTGTAATTAATAAAGCACAGTCACCATTTTATCCTCACTTATGATGCCCCGAGTATATTTCTTCCTAAATTTCGGGTATCATCCAATAAAAATGTGATTTTTATATAAAAATATAAAAGTAAATCTAAATCATTAGATTTTAAAATAAATAATAAAAATTATGTGTCATTTTTATTTTTTTTTCTCTTCAATTATTAATATAAATGATAGAGAAGAGAAAAAAAAACTGACACATCACTTCCACTATTTAATTTTAAATTCAATGATTCATATTCATTCACACTTAGACGCAACTTTGTCAATAGTTAATGAAAAAATTTTCACCCTCAATTATCTCTCTTTTAATTTCATCTCTCCACACTCTATTTTTTTTTCATTATTTACCAATGTTGTGGTTCCAAATTCTAACAAATATGCAAAAACTTGAGCTTATAACTGGTTACACATTTCGATTAAAGCTGAAACAAAGTGAAATTAACTAACAATGGTAACTGATTACTGCGAATACATAACTGGTTATACCAACTCCATAAATACTTTTTTGCTCCTAATTTGACTTATTTGACACTTGTAACCAGTTACACTTCCGTGTTAACTCGTTACAACAATTGAATTACTAAAAAAAACTATTAACATACCACCTTAATTCAAGTGTCCCAAGTCTTCCATGTCAATCTTCATCTTCAACCTCTTAAACATCATTTGTGTCTCTTTTGGTCAAAAAATTGGTCACTTGGTCATCACTTTTATATATCTTAATCTTAACTTTTCTTTACTAACAAGCTCTTTCAAGTAGTGAAACCTCATCTTAAAGTGCTTGCTCCTCCTATGTGCAATTGGGCTCTTAGCAAGATTAATCGCAGAAACATTATCAACCTGAAGTGTGACAACAAGATTAATTGCGGAAACATTATCAACCAAGAGTAATCACAAAAACATTAGCAAGATTCACCCCTTTAAGCCTTAGTGTCAAGATCCATGTTGGTGTTGAACTTTGATATTTGCACATAAATAATTAGTTTATCATTGATTTTTTATGAATTCTGAATTTGTTTCCTGAACCATCAACCATAAACTGTGGTTGGAACTTTAACTTTTTCCCTAGAAAGTTTGGGAGCATTCACATTGCAATGTTTGGTTGTATTCAAGTTGGAGAAAAAAGGCGGGTTGCTAAGAGGATGCAAAAGAAAGAGGTTGAAAAAGAAAGAAAAAAAAGAAGAAAAAAGAAAGAAAAAGAAAAGCCTTGAAGTAAAAAAACAATTGAGCTAATAAGTTGTGTTCAAGGGTGTAATAATTTAGCAATGAGAAAAAGGTAAATAAAGTTGAAAAAGGTAAATAAAGTTGTGAATGCCTGAGAATTTGAGAAGTGGTCGCTCTCATATCTTTAGGCAATTTTTATTTCAATTATCTTGAACTATGACCCATCTTTGTTAACCAAGCCACATTACAACCCTTGAAAGTCCTTTGTGATTTGTGCTTTTATACTTTCAATATGAATTATTTGGACGAATGTATAATTTAATAAGGATGTTAGCAAGATTTAAGGGTGTGAGTCAAGTCCCTCATGTTTGTTCTTCATCCATTAATGAAGTTGTGTGTTAGGTGTGATTCATATTGAAAATATGTTGTTTTAGAATTTTTGACATGTGTTTTGTTCTTAGAATTTGTTTCATGATCATGGTGTCGTTACAGTATAGTGGTAAGCATCACTTTGCTTGTACTTTTGCCATTTGAACCATACATTTATTTTCATTTCTAAAAACTTGTTTGATCATGATTTCTTGGTAGTTGCTCTTGTTTCTTTAGGTTTGATTGACTCTTATTTGAGGACAAACAAAGTTTTAAGTCGAGAAGAGTTTGATAAGTGTCAATTTGTGTTGAATTTGTGTATGAATTAGTGGTGCTTATTGACTTAATTAATTGGGTTCACAAGTCAAAAATTCAAATTTTGTGTAAATATTGTGTAGTTTGATCAATTCAAATTTATTTTGTAGATTTGTATGCATTGAAGGAGTTTTGGGCACTTAAAAGGCAAAAGAAAAGCTTCAAGATGCATTTTTGATGGAAATCAAATTTTTAGTTTGGGTTAAGCACAACAAAGCACGCTTAGAGTTCTCCTGCAAGAGGCATTCACGCTTAGCGCCAAATTATGCACTTAGCACAATTTAAAGCAGTTTTGTTGTGAATCGGATACCTTTAAACAAAGTATAAACGATTTCTTAATGATCAAGAAACTCACAAGGGTTAGGGTTAACAAAGAAAACAAGGTAAAACAACAAGGAACAACAAGGATTGGTTATTAAACTGTTATTCTTTCCTTTCTCTTAGAACAAGATTACAAGTATACAAGAATAACAAAATAATCTCTATCCCTTGAAATTAGGATTTTATCTTCCTATTTTTCCTTATGCCAAGATTGAGAAACTAGCATCCTATTTATAATAAAATAATACACTAACCTAATGAGCTTTTTAACAATTACCCATTACAAGCTAACTTATGGTACAAACTAACTTAAACAACTGAGCTTACAAGCAAGGCCCAATTCAACATGCTAACAACCCTAGCAATATTGACTAATGCATGTTAGAACAAACTTCGACTACAACACGCATTACTTGCAAACAGACTTCGACCATACTAGAGTTCGATCTAACATCTCACAAATCTCCACCTTGGATCTAACTCTGTAACATCAAGAAACTAGCTTTCTTCATGCAATTTTATTAACTGCATACAGTGGAAAAACTTGCAACTAGTCAACGTCTTTTCTTTTGCCGTTAACGCAACATCCATGGCTATCTCACCCTTCAACGCTTCCAAACAACCTTGCTGAACCAACAGAGCTTTCATCTTCAATCGTCACAGACCGAAGTCGTTCACTCCGGTGAACTTTTCAATCTCATACTTTGTTGAAGGCATCTTATCCACGCTCACCGCACCAATTTGTTGTGAATAAGATATCTTTAAACAAAGTATAAACGGTTTCTTAATGATCAAGAAACTCACAAGGGTTAGGGTTAACAAAGAAAACAAGGTAAAACAACAAGGAACAACAAGGATTGGTTATTAAACTGCTATTCTTTCCTTTCTCTTAGAACAAGATTACAAGTATACAAGAATAACAAAATAACCTCTCTCCCTTGAAATTAGGATTTTATCTTCCTATTTTTCCTTATGCCAAGATTGAGAAACTAGCATCCTATTTATAATAAAATAGCACACTAACCTAATGGGCTTTTTAACAATTACCCATTACAAACTAACTTATGGTACAAGCTAACTTAAACAACTGGGCTTACAAGCAAGACCCAATTCAACATGCTAACAACCTTAGCAATATTGACTAATGCATGTTAGAACAAACTTCGACTACAACACGCATTACTTGCGAACAGACTTCGACCATACTAGAGTTCGATCCAACATCTCACAAATCTGAACCAACAGGGATTTGATCTTCAAGCACCACAGACCGAAGTCGTTCACTCCGGTGAACTTTTCAATCTCATACTTTGTTGAAGGCATCTTATCCACGCTCACCGCACCAGTTTGTTGTGAATCAGATACCTTTAAGTTTAATTTTGCTGAATTTTGTGCTTAGCACAGTCTGCAACTTTTTTTCTTCTATAAATAGCATTCAATTGATATTTTTGAGTGGAGACACCATTTTTTAAGAGAGAAAAACTTAGAAAACAGCAAGATATGGTGATTCTTGAAGATGTGGAGTTGGGTTCGCTTCTATCGTTAGGAAATCGCAATGGATGTTTGTTTATCTTCATTCTTCTCTTTGTATATAGCTACCATGGGTAGCTAAATCCCTTTCTTGTTGAGATTGGATGTAAGTTCACTATAAAAGTATGTGTTTTTATTAATCATGACATTATGTACAATCTATTTATGAATCTATATCGATGTTATCTTTGTTTCACTATTTACCTTTATATATTTGAATTGATATTGAGAAATACGGTTCAAATCTTGATCTAAGATGAACATCTGTTAGATTTTAAACTCTAGACATAGATTTAGATTTAACATTTACCATGAGTATCGAGTCTTAATGCTACCGTATTATTCAATATGCTGAGAGATCATCGATTATACAATATAGTTGAACTCTTGTTAGGAGTTTAGACATAAACATTGTCGGTGAGCGATACATAATGATATTGATAAATGTTTAGATTGTGCGTAACTGATTAGTAAATTACATATTCTATTGGTGAATAAAATTCAATCATGAAAAGCTCTCATCTCTAGAAAACTTTATTTATCATTCATCTGTTTTACATTTTGTAGCTTTAAACCATCAAACATCTTGCAAACTTACGCTTAAAATTATAGTAACTGTTGAACGACATTG